TCTGGCGATCGGCTACACTTCCCACCGCAACGCACCAAGGGCAAGCAGGCGCGCAAAACATTAGACGCCACGGTGGGCAGGCTATATCAATGGCTGGACGAGACGGTCAATAACCGCGCGCGCAACAGCCTCGTGATCACGGCTAGGGACTTGAACGGCGGGATCGGCATCACACAACGGGGACACCGACCAGAATCACACGCAGTAGGACCAGGACGCTCGATCGAGCGACTACCAGGAGGAGCAGGGCAGCGAGCGCGCAACTTCGCCGAGAAACGCGCGTTGGCCATCGCCAGTACAACGGATAGTTGGCGACCCACTTATTCTGGCGAGCACACGACAAGCGGCATCGACAGCATCATGATCCCGCAGGAGCTCGCCCCGACCATGATATCACAAGGACCACTTCTACGAGTGGGCGCGCGACTCCAACGCGTCCCGTGCAGAGCGAGACGCGACCACGTGCCAGTGCAGACCACATTCCGACTCCCAGTGCAGCGCCGACGCCGAAGACGGGAAGCACCATTTCGCTGGACAAGGACCGACGGGCGCAAGGAGCACGACGAGGACTGCAACGCAACGACTTCATCAAAGACCTGGAGACACACTTGGAAAAAAAACTACAAGACAGAGGGCAAATGAGTCGACCGACTGTTCTTGGAGCTAACACAGATGATCATCCAGTCCGCGCAGCAGTACTACGGCGCAACTCCACCAGCTACAACACCATACGCCGAACTACGACGACAGCGCATACAACTACTAGAGGAACGCAGGAAGGGGAAATAACGGCTTCACGCGCCAGCAGCTACCGCTACGAGCCACGAGACCAGCGAGGAGACCGCTATCGAGGCTAACCGCCCTATTGGCCCCCACTCGTCGCCACGCCCCCAGGTCGCGGATGGTCTCGGAACGGATCGGAACGCTCCAGGGGCGGTGAGTGAGGGCCAGGGACAGACCGAACGCAACAACCCGTACGCCGAAGACAATAGTCAGATGATCACACCGCTGGAACGACAGCTGCGCGAAATCAAATATAGATTACGAGAAATCACGACGCTGCGCAAGGGCATGCGCAAGACAGAGTGCCAGCAGCGCAACGGTACCAGGGTCGAGGAACTGTGCGAGGCATGGGAACAACGTGACCTGGCACGAGTAGGACGACTCTCGCGCCTCATCGCGGGCGGCCGCTACGGACCCAGGAAGCGCGACTATTGTCAGGCGACGATGGCACAACCGACGCGAGAAGAATGGCTCGAAATCTGGAAGCGGCCAGGAGGCGAAGGAGGCATGGGCGGCGCCGAGCAGAACATCGACGCGATCGAGGACATACCGCACTACGCGGATAAGAAGGACTATTGCGAGGAGGACATAGTCGAGAAAATCGGGCAGGACTACGACAACGTCGCCAAGCGCTTCAAAAAGGCGAGACTGAGGAGGGCTGCGCCGCCGACAACGGCGCCGACGGAAGTATGGAGGATGCTTTTCAACCCGCCAGACGACGCAGAACCACCGGCAGCGCGACTTGGGCTCGGAGTGCCAAGACAGCGGGAGGGGGCGCACAATTTCGACGCGCTCATCAAGGCGGCGCGGGCGGCCAGCATAATCAGCAACAAGACTCCGGCGAGATGGCATCAGAGCACGGCGGCGGCAGTCCGCAAGGGCATGAAGAAAGGCCCCGCGGGACAAACAGGATTTACCGCATCATGGGCCCGATCGGCAAGGCCCACTACGCGGCGAAACTCCGCGGACGCACCGCCGTCGCCCACGCGGGCCAGGACAGCGGCTTCATCGGATGACGTCGACGCGAAGGGGCCACCCTGGCCACTGCGTCGACCGAGCACAGGGCTCGACAAGCGGGACACAACTATGCCTCCACGATGAGGGACGTGTCGAACGCGCTCGCGAGCTGCAACTGGATGACGACGTGCGCAGCCAACATGGAGATCACGCCAGAGGACCTGCGGGACTTAGGCGAGCAACGGCACCGCGGGGCGACCTTCAGAACCCCGTGCAGGGGCGACGAGAACGGGGCCTGCATCAAGCCGCACTGCGGAGGGCTCATCGGGGACCCCGTACATGGCGAAGGACTTCATGGCCAGCTTCAGCCCGTGCATCAAGCGCTGGGCCGGCGACTGCAATGCCGAGCTCGACCACGACGAGAAGCTGCGCGGCGCCAGCGAGCTTTTCCAGCGCCCAGTCCACGCGGGCCTCACGAAGTACGCTGACGACTTGAGCAAGCTCATCCTGGGCACCAAGCGAGAGCACGCCAGACCATAAAGAAAGGCCAGAACCACAATATGCCAGGCACAGCGATGGACGCGGCGAGGCACCTGGGACCACGCACGACGGCGGCGCAGAGCTATCACCACGAGCTGCAGGAGAGTCCAGGCGACGCAGGAGCGCCCCCACGAATGCGGCGGTTTCTGGACGAAGGACACCCCCTACCGATGCAAGCGGGCAGTACTGATCTGCGGGGCCATCAACACGGGACTGTCTTGCATTGAGTGTTTCTTGCCGGCGCCCAACGAGTGCGCCGCGCTGCAGAGCGCTATGGGCGCGCTATTGCGCCGAGCCATGATTGGGCGAGCGACGACTTACAGGCTGGATGGATCCATCCGCAGCGCGGCGACGCTTGAGGTCTTTCGCTTCTGGCAAATATTGTCGCCGGCGGAAGAAGCACTGGTCCGCGGACATGGCCGGGGAAAAGAACGCCCACCTTTCCCCGAGCAACGGCCGTCGACTCATCGCCGCCACGTTCGGGCGCCTCGGATTCGAGAACGCCGAGGCCAAACGGGGCCGCATTTCGTCATATTTGATTCGAGAAGAAAACGCTGAGACCGAGAACGACGAGAGCTCCCTGACGGCGGACGCGGACCCCTGGGCCCGACGATTCGCAGAGGACGTCCAAAAAGCTTGCATGGTCTCGGAGGCCTTCCGAAACATCTTCGGGGGCAACGTCCTTATCGGAGAAATGTTCACGCTTGAAACCAGGGAACAACTGCGCCTAATAGACGCTAGAGAAGCGCGAGCAGCAAAACTCATCGTTTCAGATCCTCCTCCTGGACAGGTCTCAAACGACGGATAGCGAGAAAAAATGGCGCTGCGAGACCAGCCTTGGAAATTCGAACTACGAGAAAGCGGGGACGAATGCGGTTGATTGTTCGCTGGCAAGAAAGCGATGCACAGCCGCGTCATCAGATCTCACCGCGCGCGTAACCTCGCGGCCCTCCTCGCCACGAACAAGCAGTGCATACATTGCCTTCAGACGTGCCCGAGCCGTGGAACCGCGCGGAAACACTTGGCCAGGAGCACGTTGCGTGGAAGTTGCACCCCTGGCAGAACCCGAGAAACAATGCGAAGCGACAGCTCCTGGAACGACTTGCCTTCTCCGCGGCCATCTAGCTCGGGATTAGGGGACTTTTTCAGCGCTCGAGGACGCGCCCCCCGAGACATATACTCCGACCGCGCGACAGAGATGGCGCTATTCGATCAGCGCCCGTAGCGGGCGCCAGCCGCGCCAGTGCCAGGAGGCCCACCGCGACCAGATCGCCGCTGGCAGCCGAGGAGGCCGCGAGCGGGAGGAGGCGCAGCGGGAGCGGCGGGGGGAGGGCAGCCAGCCAACGCGCAGGCGGTGGATCTCACAGCCTGGCTGGCCCTCGCGCCGGCGCGAGAACAAGTAGAATTCGCCTCCACAAGGATCCACAGACGCGGGAGATCGACGCCAACGCCGAGGTGTCCAAGTTCGGCCTGACAGCAGGCAAGGACTACAACGACGCGGCCCAGGACTCGCGCAGAAGGGTAACCAGCGGGGAGACTATGGACGCCGCATCGCCGGGCAGCCCGCGCGCGAAGATCTGGACAGAGGTGCTAATCTAAGTGGGCCGCGCGCGCGAGGCAGGGGCCGAGCGATGCCTATTCGATTGCGTATTGAATGGCAGCGTGGAGATCGTAACGTCGTCAATGCCCGTGTTCCGCGTCAGGCGCAACAAGAGGAAGGAGGGTGGCAGTGGGGCGCGGGAGAAGTGCGGGTTCCAGTTCCAGATGCATCGCACGCATCACCAGCTGGAGACGGCGGTAGTCACGCAGCTCAGGAAGGAAGGGGCGATCAGGAAGGGGCGAGCAGCGCCGCGTGGGGCCATCCTCAGGAAGTTCGGGAGACTCATCAACAGGGCGGGAGCAATACGACAGATAATGGCCGACTGGGCACCGATCAGTTTTGTGCGACACCTGCAGGCGCAGCTCCCAACGGTGCAGATCAGTTTTGTGCGACGCCAGCTAGTGCAGCATCAGATAGTGGCCGACGGGACACATATCAGTTTTGTGCGACATCAGCGGGCGCCCTGCAGCGGGAGACCAGAACGCACGGGCCAGGGAAGGGTCGCGGTGAGGGTGAGGCCGAAGGCCATGAGAGCGACCGCGAGCATTCAGCGCAGCTGCGCACAGTTGACGCTGCCCCCATCGCAGTGCCTCAGGCTTTTCGAACCAGCGAGCGTTTTCGACAGTTACTCATGGAAGGTCGGCTTCCTCCGCCGCCCACCGAGGCTCCTCCCCTCTTCCAACTCCATGGGCCGCGCTTCCCTAAGTACAACGTAACGCACCGCCCCCCCCCCCCCGAACCCAAACGAAAAGGCAAGGGCCGGGGGAAGGGAAGGAGTAGAGAGGAGACCGCGAGAGGGCACCCGTAAACGCGGGTGCGACCCTGCCCGCGGACCCCTGCGTGGGGAGGTCGGTGCAGGTAGGGCCCGAGCGCCCCGTGGCGCCAGCGTCCCCTTTCCAGAAAGTGACCACAGCTAGGCCGCACTACAGCTTTTGAAGGCTCACTGTACTAGTCGTAGCCCAGTAACCCCAGACAGGCCCGAGAGCTCCATCGATCGATCTATCCTCCTCCTTCTCCTCCTCCTCCTCTTCCTCTCCCTCCTCCTCCCCCTCCCCCACCTCCTCCCCAACCTCCTCATCCTCCTACCCCTCCTCATCGTCGTCCTTCCTTTTCGGGGCAGGCGCCGGCGTCGGCGCTGGCAGCGCCGCCGCAGGCGAGGGCAGCCGCGGAGGCGTGGCTGTGGGTGTCCCGCCTTCCGCAGGAGCCCGCAGCGGAGGCGCAGGAGGCGCCGACGAAGACGACGAGTGAAAGGTATTTGTTGTTTCCCCGATTCCAATCTACTTGGGCGCCTTCCTACTTTTATGATCGAATGGCTTTACCGTTTCCGTCCTCTTCAGGGGGCGCGCGGAAACCCGATATACTTTCAACGCCTTCCTACTTCATGTTTCTACCTACTTTTTCCGACCGATGGGTATCGTCTTACCGATCCCCATCCCCTCTGCGCCGTGGCATCTCAGTCCCCCCCTCCCCCCCTCCTTCCCGGTTGGGGATGGGCCCCGCGAGTCCCGGACAGAGCAGCATGTATCCCCATCTAATGGGGTAAAATCGGCTTGTAGGGCCGAGGCTACGCAAATGGGGATAGGGATCTGTTGAACGACGAGAAAAGGATGAGGAGAATGAGGGGGGGAGGAGGAGGAGGAGGAGGAGGAGGAGGAGGAGGAGGAGGAGGAGGAAGAAGGTGCCGTGTTTGCTTAGGGATTCGGTTTGGGGATGTTATGTTTTTTGGGGGGTGGGGCGTGGGGGTATCTGGAGACCTCCAGAGACCTCCGACCCCTGTAGAAGCATCCGATGACGGAGAGGGGGGATGGAGGGAAGGAGGGGGCAGGAGTAGGGGCCAGGAGGGAAGAAGGGAGGAGGGAGGGAAGGAGGGGTGATTGAGAATGGAGGGAAGGAAAGGAAGTAGGGAGGGATGGAGGGAGGAGAGGAGAGGGGGAGGAAGAGGGAGGGAAGGAGGGGCGTGAGTAAATTAGGATGCATTTTTTCCGCCGGTGCCCGCTGCAGAGAGGCCACGGTTTGCAGCCAGAGTGGGGCTTGCCGGTCAGACGAATTTTACGTTTCCAAGTTCGTTTGGATGTGATGTGATAGTGTCGTGCCGTCTGTTCTTTGTCTGGACAGGCATCTACCAAGCGGAAGGAGGAGGTTTAAGTTGGAGGAGGAGGAGGAGGAGGAGGAGGAGGAGGAGGAGGACCAGCAGGAGGAGGACCAGGAGGAGGAGAGGGGAGAGGGGATGGAGACCCGAGAGGTGATGGACGCCCTGAACGCTTCGCTCGCGACGTGGGGCTGCGAGGGCAGCGCCACGCAGCTGGAGCGGCGGGAGCCGCACCAGGAGTGGGCGAGCGTGCTGGCCGCACGCCCAGCCCGCCCGGCCCGCCTCCGCCTCGCACCCTGCGTGCCCCCCCTCGCTGCGGGTGCGGAGGGGGAGGAGGAGGAGGAGGAGGAGGAGGAGGAGGAGGACGGCGCAGGAGGAGGAGGAGGAGGAGGAGGAGGAGGGGGAGGAGGAGGAGAGGAGGAGGAGGAGGAGGAGGAGGAGGAGGAGGAGGAGGAGGAGGAGGAGGAGGAGGAGGAGGAGGAGGAGGAGGAGGAGGAGGAGGAGGAGGAGGAGGAGGAGGAGGAGGAGGGAGGAAGGAGGAGGAGGAAGGAGGAGGAGGGAGGGGGAGGAGGAGGAGGAGGAGGAGGAGGAGGAGGAGGAGGAGGAGGTAGGTGCTGCTGATGCGGGTGCGAAGGGCGGCAGCCTGGCCCGCATCCTCCTCGCACCTTTCGTGTCCCCCGCTGCCAGTACGAGGGCCCACTTCAGAGGCGGGAATTTCTACATGACCACCGCCTGGAGGATCAATTACCGGGGACCTCCGCAGGCGGTGGATATGGACATATTCGGGCCCCCGGGGGGCCAAAATATGTTCATATCCACCGCCCGCTGGGGCACCAGGACGCCGGTTCCCAGGCGGTGCATATGGATACATCCCCGCCTCGCACCACTGTGCGAGTGGTGCTGCTGATGCTGATGCGAAGGACAGCGGGCCGCTGGACACTCGACTGGCAGGTCTGTAACTGGCGCCCTCTGATGCAAGGCTGCGCTCGCGAGGTGCAGCAGATTCATGCCCCAGGGGCGCGAAGGCAATCGCGCTCCGCGCACCGCGGCCTTGGTTGGAGAGGTGCCCTTCTCCAGGGCGGCGGCACGAGGGCACGAAGGTACCCGCGTGTCGCGCATCGCGGGTAGCGATGCACGAGGTTGGGTGATTTGGGTATTCGAGGTCTCCCACACGGGGCCAGAGTTGACGAGGTCAGGGGATCTCGCCGATGACTTCGATGATTTGGCGAAGCGGCGCGATGGGGATCACGATTTTTGACAGACGTCTTCGATGCGTTGCCGATGTGTTGTATCGGCAACGTGATGCGATTGGCGATGATGCCAATGCGTATGCTGACGCCGACGCTGGTGCTGGTGCTGATGCTGAGAGTAGTGTTTTTCGTGCTGCGCCTTTACTTCCTCCTCTCTTCTCCCTCCTCCCGCTTAAAATCCCAACCCGAGCAGCGAGGTTCCATCCTTGGAAACCTGAGCACCCGCCAACCTTGGAAAGGCTGTTCCCCAACCCTAGAAAGGCTGGTCCCAACCTGGAAACGGAAAGGCCGAGCACTGGAAACTGAAAGGGGAATCGCCAAATTAGGGGACTCGTGGGGGACGCGTGGGGGGCGCGTGGGGACGCGTGGGGAAATCCCCAAATTTGGGTCTATCCCTTTGTTTTGTTTCCCCTCTTCTTTTGTTGAATATCCCTCTCTATCCTTCTCTCTCTGTCCCCCATCTTTCCGTTTTCGTTTTGCCTATTTGTTTGTTAGTTTGTTTGTGTCGTTGTTGTTTGCTTGCCTCTCTATCTGTGTCGGGTGCGTCAGCGTATGTGTGCGTGTATGAGTGTTCCCCAGTTGCACGGTTTCTCAATCCGTTACTTGCTCGCTGCAAGATCGGTGGTGGTGGCGCAGTTTCTCTGCGTGTATGCACCGCCATCAGGTCGGCTGGTCTGGCAGCCTTATAGTTGATCATGTGTTGCTGTCTCGTTGAGGCTCCAAGTCGCACCTGACTGCTGTTCGCACTTCAAACGACCCGCGTCGAGCTTATGTTCCTCGTATTTTTCGTCCGCAGCACTTTGGCTTTACTGCGCCTCTCGCCCTTCACCACCAATCTGCATACAGTCGGGGCCCTGAAGAAGGAACCCTTTTCGTTGGGGAGGGGCTCCGTGTTCTTTGATTGCTTCACAGTTTGCCTTGGGTTTTCCTTTGGTTTTCGATGGGAAATCGAGGTTCAACTTGTGGATAGAAGGGGCCTCGTTCCTTATTTCGGGTTCCTTGGGTCAACGCTCCGACTGTAGCCGTGACTGGTTCTTCCATCACGACGCGTTCGACTAAGTTCGCTCGCGATTGGCACGTCCATCTGCCGACCGCCCCTTCGGCTCCTCTGCGCCGCCGGCTTTCAAACTGTGGTGTGTGCGTCTCGTGGTTGTTTTCTTTCGCTTTTTGTCAAACGATCTTTGTCTCCCTATACATAGAGATGTAACTCGGCATCTCATGTTCACTTTCAATTATGTGTTGGTATGTGTCCTTTTCCTGTCGCTATCATGTGTTGCTCCTCTCTCTTTCTCTTGTTCCCCGTCCCTCTATCCCACGCTCTTTCTTTGTTGTATAGGTTTCTGTGTTTGTGTGCGTCCCCCTTTTCCCCTCTCACTTTTACTCAATAAGGGCTTCGCCCCCTGCCGCCGGCCACCTCTCTATCATAAAGGGATATACCAGAGTCGCGTCGGTGTGCCTCGGCGCTGCCTTGGCGCATCTGGGAACATCATGCGGGGGCGGATAGGAATCATCAGCGCAAATTGAGACGTTGGCGTTATCGAAGACGCCTACGGCGAATCACCGCCGCCCCCTGCCCCTTTGGAAGCGCCTATGTGTCCGACAGCTGGGCTAGAGCTTGGCCAAGCTATCGGACCATGTGTTCCCCGAGTCGGTTTGAAAAGGTTTCGGGGAACGCGGGGGGGAGGAAGGGGAGGAGGAGAAGAAGGAGGAAAAAGGATAAGGGGGAGGATGCCTCTTCGGAGTCTCTCGAGGCACTGAGAAGGGGGAGGATGCCTCTTCGGAGCCTCTTGAGGCACTGTTGGGCTCGATTGGACCATCTTGGGTCCGTCTTGGAGACCATGTTGGGGCTATCTTGGGTTCTCTGGGGGCCTGTTGAGGGCCTCTTGGGGCCATTGGGGCTTCTTTCGCCGTCTTGTGGCGTTCCTGGCCCGTCTGACGCCGTCGGGGGACGTCTTGGGGGCCTCTTTGAACCGACTTGGGGCCCTCTTGGGGCGCTTCGGGTCCGTCTTGGAGGCCAGTTTGGGCGTCTTGGAGGCCTCTTGGGCCGTCTTGGGGCCCTCTTGGGGCCTTCTTGGGGGCTTCTTGGGCCGCCATGGGGCCATCTTGGAGGCCTCGTGAGCGATTTTGGGGCGATCTTGGGGGCCTCTTGGGCCGTCTTGAGGTCTTCGGAAGGCCGAAAAGAAGCAAATGCCCAAATCCTTCAAAAACCTAAGGAACACCAGTGATTTTGGCCTCTTCGGGCCCTCCTGGAGTACCTCTTGGAGGCGTCTTGGGGGGCTCTTGGGGGCCTCTTGGGCCGTCTTGACCATCTTGATGCTATCTTAGGCCGTCTTGGAGGCATCTTGGGCCATCTTGGAGGCATCTTGGGGCCATCTGAGCCGTCTTGGAGGCCATGTTGGCCGTCTTGGAGGCGTCTTGGAGGCCATCTTGGGCCGTCTTGGAGCCGTCTGGAGCAGGAAAAACCCTTGGCAACCACCTCTGGGCAAGCCGGATGATTTTTCCGGGTGGCCTGCGGGACAGGCCGAAGCCCCAGGGGGAGTTCTTTTGGAAAAAGAACCAAAACCAAACCGAAAAGGTCTAGCACGCCAGGCACCCCTGCGATGAATCGACAGGGGGCGGCGGATCGAAGACGCCTACGGCGAATCACCGCCGCCCCCTACCCCTTTGGAAGCGCCTCTGTGGCCGACAGCTGGGCCAGAGCTTGGCCAAGCTATCGGGCCAGTTGTTCCCCGAGTCGGTTTGGACAGACTTCGGGGAACGCGGGGGGGAGCAAGAAGAGGAGGAGGGGGAGGATGAGGAAAGAGGAGGAGGAGGAGGAGGAGGAGGAGGCCTCTTGGGCGCCTCTTGGGGCACTCTTGGGGCCTCCTGGGAGCTTCCTGGGGGCCTCTTAGTATTTTGGGGGGCCTTTGGGGGCTTCTTGGGGGCCTCTTTGGCCGTCTTCGGGCGTTCCTGCCTTGCTAACGCCGTCGGAAGCCGTCTTGGGGGCCTGTCTGGGTCGTCTTGAGGCCCTCTTGGGGCATATCAGGCGTTCTTAGAGGCCATCTTGGGCGTCTTGGAGGCCTCTTGGGCCGTCTTGGTACCCTCTTGGGGCCGTCTTAGGGGCCTGTTGTTCCGTCATGGGGTCATTGTGGAGTCCTCTTGGACGCTCTTGGGGGCCTCTTGCGCCGTCTTGAGCCGTCGGAACGCCGAGAAGAAGCAAATGCCAAACTCTTTCAATAACTTTGGGATAATCAATGATTTTGGCCTCTTCGGGCCCTCCTGGAGGACCTCCTGGACGCCTCTTGGGCCGTCGTGGAGGCCTCTTGGGCCGTCTTGGGCCATCTTGAGGCCATCTTAGGCCGTCTTGGGTGCATCTTGTGCCGTCTTGGAGGCATCTTGGGGCCATCTTAACCGTCTTGGAGGCCATTTTGGCCGTCTTGGAGGCCGTCTTGGAGGCCGTCTTGGGGGCCTCTTGGGCCGTCATGGGGCCATCTTGGAGGCCTCGTGGGCGATCTTGGGGGCCTCTTGGGCCGTCTTGAGCCGTCGGAATGCCGAAAAGAAGCAAATGCCAAAATCCTTCAAAAACCCAGGAACACCAAAGATTTTGGCCTCTTGGGGCTGTGAATGGAACCCGTGTAATACCCTCATATTTACTCCTTATCCTTACCTCTCTTGCGCCTGGCCGTTTGGGCTCAGGTACTGAGATAGATCGATCAGACCTTGATCGTGCGGGAGGGAAAGATATCCATCTATCCCTCCCTCTCTCTACCAACGGATCAGGGGTTCTGTACCCTTGTACTTCAACCCCATACACAGGTTATCAGCCCTTTAAAGCTCACCCTCACCGACTCGCCCGCGGTGACCTCGCATGCGAGCCTGATGGAGCCACTTCGGCGCATGCGCCGCAAGGGTTCCATCGGCCCTTCGCGTCCGAGCTCTCCCACGGCCCGACGGCTCGGTGACGAGTTGGAGAGCATTCATGCGGACTGTGTTGGTGTACCAGATACCCCCCCCAGCTCCCAAGGAC